GTGTGTGTGTGTGTGTGTGTGTGTATACACACACACGTATATATACATATAACACTGCTCAGGTGGAGCTGTCAACATTGAAGGCTATAGCCAGAACATGGTCTTGTAAAATTAAGATTTTCCCATTTAATTCTTTAACAAAGAGTAAACAACAGGCTGTGGTCTCTGCCCTTTAGGGTTTGCATTCTGCAAACACTGTAGACTATTTGTAAAGTAGAATTTAATTAGGGCCCATTTCCATTGCAATAATTTAATGCTGGTTTGTGTATGCCTTGGATTACAGACATTAATGGCCAGATTTAGGCAAAGATTCTGGACATGGCATATAGCTTTTAGAGACGTATTACAACAACATGGTGTTAGATTTTTAAACTAAGTACAATATTCAGGCCATGTATGTGTGGTAGTAAAGGACTCTGAAGTCCCTGCCAGTTCACCAGATATTATCAAAAGAAAAAGGCATTCTAAAAAAAATGTGACATTTCAGCACTGGGCCAAAAGCAATGATCATGTTTGTAACCTCCTGCTATTTAAACTTATTAATAATTTACAGTAATATGGGCTCCAACTTCTACTTAACTGCTCAAAGGGTTAGAGTCACATTTACCACTGTGTTTTATTTAATGCAGCCATGATTAATTTACTAAGCAATTATTTCCCCAGTGTTTTATTGGGGGAGGAGCTTTGAGTAATTTACACACGTGTTATGTTTATCACCTTCAGATCTTCTGAACAAACTTTAAAGCAACTGCATTTTGGTATTTTTCTTATTAGTTGCTTTAGTTTACAAAATTTATTTGGAAAGCTTTTGAACGAATGCCAGGCTGTCTTTCTGCTTAATAAAGCCTTTTAAAAGAGCAGTTAATCTACTGCCTTGCACTTGTACTCAAGAAGTAGCTAAATTAATTTACTGACAAAGAGAATCAATCATCATAAATGGTGTTTAAACAATACTGGGAACTCTGAAGAGTAGTCAGTGACTGGTATTGGAATAACATGATTTATTTTATCATCTTGTTTGTGTTGTTACAGGTTAATGGCAGAAACCTCCTTTCAGTTGACTTTGATCGAACAACAAAGACAGAAAAGATCTATGATGACCACCGTAAATTTCTACTGAGGATTGCCTACGACACATCAGGGCACCCAACTCTCTGGCTGCCAAGTAGCAAGTTGATGGCCGTCAATGTCACCTATTCATCCACAGGTCAAATTGCCAGCATCCAGCGAGGAACTACTAGCGAAAAAGTAGATTATGATGGACAGGGGAGGATTGTATCTCGGGTCTTTGCTGATGGTAAAACATGGAGTTACACGTACTTAGAAAAGGTATGCCTGCATACTAAGGTTAAAAACAGGGAAGGGGTGATTAGCATTTTCCAGCAATCACCCAGACCAGTACAGGGGAGAAAAATGATGACACATGACTGAGTTCCATTTGTTATCCTAAGTATCAATATGGAAGTCCCATTGGTACAGCAGTGATGAATTTCTGCATTAGCAAAGTAGTTTCTCCTTATTTAAATTCTACTATCTGAGACCCTTTTAAGTGATTTATGCTATAAACAAACAAGCAGTAACACTGTCCACCTGCCAAGCTTGTACATGGAACACATTCACAAATTAGACCTTTAGCATGTAAGTCATTCGTAAATAACTTCCATGTAGCTGTTTCATTTAAGAAAGAGCCTTACATTAGCACAGCTAAAGCTGTCAGTTTTGTGTTGTTCCTGGCAGAGCTTCAACATAACCATAAAAAATATGTAGACCCTACTTATGCATTATTAACTAAAGGAGATTATTTTCGTAGAAAGCCACACTTTCAGGTACTCTGTGGCATCTCTCCTTTATTCTGCATATAAGAGGTAAGCATCCTAGCTTAGGCTTCTGCCCATTCTTAAGAACTATGCATAATACCAAAAATGAAGACTTAGAGATACACATGTGCAAAATGCTAAGTTGTACAATGGGCAGCCTGGGGTATTGACTGGGGTCAAGAGAGAATGAAAGAAAAGGAAGAAAAGGGAAAGGATGACCTCTCTGTAATTCCTTTCTTAAGAAATATAATCCACCGAAGAGCATATTCATGGAATGTTTCACTTGCCTTTGAAAGAAGCATTAGCACTAGAAAATGAACTAGTTTTGAGTTCTGATACCTCTCAAAGCTCAGAGCACTCCAGCACCAAGTGCACAGCAGCCTAAGTACAAACAGTGGCTGCCTCCCCCCGTACTTAAATTCTTCCCCAAAGCTCACATTCTGCATCGTTGCTGTGCTCACCTCAGGCAGTCTTGTTCTCCACCAGCGGTGCCCTCGCAACTCGTCGGTCTCACCGAACCCCTTACATTTGAACCATCCCATCTGATTCTAGGTGGCCTAATCACAGACCGCTCTTCCTAAGAACCAGTTTCAAAGCTCACTGTAGGATGCTACCTATCTCAAGGTGCCTGCCAACTCTGAATGCCACCAGCTAAGACCCTCCTGGCCAGTCTCTCCTCTTGCAAACCCACCTGTCTGCTCTCCCGAGAAGAGACTCACCCTTGAGACAATGGATTCTGCATGTTAAATGACAAACTCCCTCCGTGCTAATCATCCTACTCTATAGTCAGTCATTCAACTGGTTATTTGTTGGGAGAACACAAAGCAAGCCCGCTACATATATCTTTCTGTGAACAAATTCTGACACCTGGAAAGTATTTCACCCTCTAACCTAACAAGCCCCAAGACATCACCTGGGAAGTATTTCACCTTCCAGCCCAACAAGCCCCAAGGTACTTTTTCCAAGTGGGAGAGGATCTCTGCTTCATTCTGGAACAGTTTTCCCAATTTAAGTATATTACAGGGAAGAGTAACAGAAATATAAATACCCAGACCCCTGAAATTGATAGTAGTGATCATAATGTGCCAAACATGTTTAAAGGGAGCGAAGGAGAATGTCATTGATAAGAGCTGCTGTCAAGAAATGACAAAGGCAGTAACCAAGATCACCTTCATGCAACAATGCAGATCAGGAAAGCCAATGAGTCCTTTCTCATTGTCTCTCCCAAACCCCTAAAGTCTACCCGAACTATTTCCATTTCCTTGCTAGGATAGGCACACTAACTTATCCATTTCAAAACAAGAAATATTGGGCCGGCCCGGTGGCGCACTGGATAGTGCACCGCTTGGGAAGCGCGGCGGCGCTCCCGTCCGAGGGTTCGGATCCCA